TTTCAGAACAACGCACTGTCAAAAAGAACCTTGAAAAAGCTGAACGAGAATTGGCAGTTTTGGAATCAGAGCTGCATACTGCTGAAGCTGACTGCAGAATGCAGCTCTACAGCAAGTCAGTATATATAAAAGTCAAATTTCAACGAATAAAATACAAAGCAACAGCATCGAAAAATTCCTTTATAATTCCAGATCTATTATTATCGCTCTAGAAAGTGAAAAAGGTGGTCTTGTGAAGTTAGAAGTAACCTATCAAGTGCATGGTGCTTGTTGGCGTCCTTCATATGATGTGCGTGTGGAAACGAGTGGGAAACAGTCGCTCAAGGTGTGAAGTATAGCTAAAAGGTTGAATTTTGATTTATATTAACAAATTCCTAGATCACATACTTTGGCAACATCTCCCAGTCTACTACAGAGGATTGGATGAACGCTTCGCTGGTTTGTTGCTTCGTTTTCCTTGCTTCGTTTGCTTAACATTGGTTTTTTTTTTAATGTTTGAGTTATCGAAGAAAAATTAGCTTATGTGAGTCGTTGGACACTTAAAACTATTGGCTAAGCATAGTATGCGCTTTCTTTTCCAGATGAGGGAGGTACGGAACTCTAAGCTTTTTCCCCTTTTTTGTTATTCTAGAAGGGGCGACTCGCCTTTTTGAAATGAATCATCTCCCTATCGAAAGGAGTTCAGCAAGTTGAACTTTTGTATAGGTCTCAACAGTTTTCGAATGTTAATGCTTGCGTTACTGATCTTAAGTATCTTAATATTTCTCACTATTGTCAATCAAATAAGCTAATAAAAATTGAGCTTCTTTTATCAGCCGTAATTGTTAGATCCGCCGGTTATCTCATGATAAACCATTTGAGTTTTAAATGGTTACTCACGTGCTTACTTTTGAAATTCTAATGTATGTTGGTGAAACGAGAGCCTGAAAGGTGTTTTAGGTACTTTCCACAGCTCAACCTTGTCTTGGTGGACAAATTCCAGAGTTAGGCGTACTCGATGCTATCTTTTATCGTCCTCCACCTCCTCCACAACCCATACGAATGATGAAGGCTGGAGCCTTGTAAGTTTATTTTTTTAACTCGTCTGTTCTTCATTTCAACATCTTTATTTTTGATTTGGCAGTAGTGCACGTACAGCTTCCCAAATGAGCAGCAATGCAATGGAAAGTGTTTGTATGGAGGCGGCTCCCCTCTACGCACCTATGGCTCCAGCGGTTAGTGTTTTTATGGGCGTCATCAAGTCCTTTTAAGCAAAGTTTTTTAGATAGCGGTAGCGGCACCGGCTGAGCAGCATGCACTCAGCACTGAGTTTATGATCGCAAGACCAGCAGCTATTCCTTCTGATGGAGCGGAACACAAAGTAAGGATATGATTTTGTTTGCTCGCTTTCGAATAAGTTTCTCTTCAGGTCACCATCGGCATTGTTGACGTATCTCCACAGTTGGTTCATGAATGTGTTCCATCAAAAAATACAAGCGCATTTCTGACGGCATCGGCGGTTAACAATTCCCAACTTCCCTTTCTATCCGGTGACGCGTCTGTTTACCTAAATAACAGCTTTGTTTCGAAGGTGTGATTTAATATCATTTGTAAGAGATCATCAGTTTGGTGGCTGCTTTCAGTGGTGCCTTTTCAGACGCTTC